CCAATAAAGTTCTTAATGTGCAAGTCCCGGAAAAAAAAAGGGCCCGACATGCGGGGATCGTTAAAGGCACATGTACAGGTTTACATGATCCAGGGCGGGGGGTGTGACCCCCCAACCAGCACCGCTCCGTTGCTGCAGGGGGGGGGGGGGGTCCCGACCCCCCCAGCAGCAGCGCTTTGCTGCTGGGGGGGGGGGGTCCCGACCCCCCCAGCAGCAGAAGGCATTGGACCCAGCTCTCCCGCCTCTTCGCCGCCGCCGCCCCCTCCCACCTCGGCTCGTGTTGTTTTAGCGGTACGCTCGAGGCAGTCGGTTGTGTTCACCGCGCCTTCGAGCCCAATACACCTTCGTCGTGTCGAGTGCTGGCGTTTGTAAGATGTGACCATATGAGTCTATCTTGTACTACCACACACTAAAAGCCATATAGTGAGCCACTCACTCGGGCGTCTCGGCTGACGTTGATCGATCAGCGTTGATCTCCCTAGCCTATCGGTCCCCCGCTCGATCCTCGGATCGCTCGCTCGTCGAAATCGATCGACTGAGTCGTAGTCGTTCCGGACTTTTCTTTTTTCGAAAACGCGCGCGCGCCCGTCGCGGCAAAACTGTCAGGTCCGCCGCGACGCGTCGCCGCAATGGCGGGCAGCGACGTGGTGGAAGCCATGCGGCTCGCCCTCAAGCCATTTAACATCCAGAACCTCGCCGACGACTGGGCAGCGCAAGCCGCCGAAAAAATGCTCATCACAAGTATGTCGACGCTCCAGTTTGTCACCGATATTGAGAGCGAGGCCTGGGCGAACCTGTTCGCGCTGTTGTACAGAGATGCCAGCACCCCCCAGCAGCAGAGCGCTGCTGCTGGGGGGGGGGGGGGTCTCTGTACAACAGCGCGAACAGGTTCGCCCAGGCCTCGCTCTCAATATCGGTGACAAACTGGAGCGTCGACATACTTGTGATGAGCATTTTTTCGGCGGCTTGCGCTGCCCAGTCGTCGGCGAGGTTCTGGATGTTAAATGGCTTGAGGGCGAGCCGCATGGCTTCCACCACGTCGCTGCCCGCCATTGCGGCGACGCGTCGCGGCGGACCTGACAGTTTTGCCGCGACGGGCGCGCGCGCGTTTTCGAAAAAAGAAAAGTCCGGAACGACTACGACTCAGTCGATCGATTTCGACGA